CTGTAGGCGGTGAGCGCCAGCGAGGGCGGCCCGCGGCTCCGCACCGGCTCCTCTTGATCGAAGTCGTGGAATGTCGTAGTACACTAGACTTTGGTCCTGCGGAACAACCGAAGCAGGCTGGTCTTAGCGTCAGACGCCGACGTGGCAGCTGGTGACGCAGCTCGAGGCACAGCGAAGGAGCGTGTCATGGTGTGCGTGGTGGGCACCTCATGCAGCGGAAGAGTATCAAATACCGAATATGCAGTATTAAGAGAACCAAATATGCAGTATTCAAAGCGGAAACAGTCGCGACGAGACCAGTTCGTCACAACTTATCTGCTACAACTTATATTATCTACTACAACTACAACTTATCTACTATGCATACACAAGCACTGGATACAGATAATGAGAGGGCATTTCGAAGAACTGAAGTCCCTGTCGGCAATGAAGACAGACATGGTGAGAACAAACTGGTGCAAGACGATACATGATTATCCATTAGCTCTTCTAAAGCCAACGTCTTTTCCAATCCAAAACATCATTTCACGACAGCTGAACCAAGCTTCTATGTATGTTCCTGCCCACGGTTGCATCACAACCGGGGTCCATATATCCTCCGAAGCGTAATCGCGAGCCCGGTGAGCTTGTCTCGTCGGTCAGAGTCAGCGTCGGCGCGGCGTCTGTGGTCTGGCCAGCCCGAGAAGGTCTCGGCTGACGCCAGAGCGTCAGCTTCAGTACGGGTCGTGTTCTCTGTTCACGCCATCTTAGTGGTCACCGATGGGCAGCCTCACAGGCAGACTTGGCCTCTGGTGACCGTCGTCAGGGGGCGTCGAGGGAAACACGGCACCCGCCGTGAAAGCGAGGACCTTCTTTACCCCACGGGGGATACAACGGTATCCCCCGTGGGGCATACTGGGGTATATCGTATGCCGCACCCGACTTACGCTTGATTCCGCTACGAAGGAATCGATTCTCGACTAGGGATTCCCATTTTCGGTTTCAGTTCCAGATTCCGACCGCGGGTTTAAAGCGCAAGGAGACTGTCTCGATCCCTTCTCCAGAGTAGCAGAACTCAATATTGAATACATTCGGATCCCCACTCATAGAGACTTGGATACATTCCGGTTTCCACAACCGACTCCAATAAAGCCGATTGCAGTGACGGTGGTCCTGAACGGAAGCACGTCTGTGGTTTGCAAGCAGCCTGGAGTGGACATTCTGCCATCATACCTTAGTAAATCATCCCGTACGAATGCCAGCTTGCATCGAGCGGAAGAAGGTTTTTTACATGCCTTTTTGAGCCTACTCATCGACCACGTCTTCCAATACGTGTGATTAACCTCCAGCTTCGACTTACCTATTCTCGAAAGAAATCAATTCCACATTAACTCCAAAATTCAGTGACTCCCTGATCAACTCGGACTCTGCGCAGTCACGTGCCTCCGACTCTGGCCTCAGCCGGTGGATGGCGGCTTGCTGTGCTGTTTCTAGCCAATGGACAACAGCACGCCATTCTGCAGTCTAACCGGCGCACAACAGCGCGCCCTGTCTCAGTTGAGCTGAGCTTGCGACAGCCGGACCGCCCGAGCCGCAAACCCACGTCGGTCGCATTTTGTCCGCAAATATGGCGGTGCTGTGAGAAATACGGACCAGATGCCCCGATGGAATTTTAAACTACGCAAATACCGAGACCGAAGCCCCCAGCTTGGTGATATAGGAACGTTAGGCGGCATACAGATGAGGTCATTTGTGAAACAAAGGGCCTGGCTGACGGCTGCTGCAGTGACAGCATTGTCGTTCTGATTGAAAATTGTTGTGCACATAACACTCTGTTCGCTGGCTCATGGATGATGTTGCTGATGGTGATGATGTTACATCGATTCGCTATGTCAGAGAGTCGCACAGAGTACTCACTTTCCGCAGGGATCATGAATCCGTTCGTCAATCCTCAACTATTTAGTCACATTTCGCCATAAATAGTTCCAATTTCCAATTTCCATTTTTTCATTTCCAGGAGGATTTGCCATCTCTTGGTAGATTTTTTTTGCCTCAAAACGGCCTTTTCACACCATTTCCTTTGTGTTAAGCCAGGTACCCCTGAAAGGCTGTAGGCGCGGTCGGGTGGGTCGGGCCGAGCGCTGCCGGCGCCTGCCGTCCGGAGGTCGTACCTGCGTGGCGCGCGCCTCAGAACGCCATTCGCCAGCTGTTGCTCTTCTCAAAGAGCAGCTCGTCGCGGCTGCGCTCGAAGGCGTGGCGGCGGGCCGCGCCGCCGCCACCGCCGCCACCACCGCCGCTGCCGTGCGGTGTCAGCGTCTCGTACAGGCTGTCCCGCGAGCCGGCGCGGCCCGCCCGGCCCGGCTCGTACACCAGCTGATGCGTGGAGCTGGCGCTGGCGGGGTGCAGTGGGAAGTCGTGCGCCGACAGTGTCGGGAAGTCGTACTGCAAGCGTCAGACGTCCGTCAGGGGGAGCTGCCTGCCGCGCCGTCGGGGAGGGGCGGGGCGGCGCTTCCACCGGGGGTGTCAGTCCGTCGTTGGCGTCTGCTGACCGGTGCCCGCTGGGGGATGCTTGGGTGTGACCCTGCACCGCGCTCTGTGATAGGGTATATATGTACATACATTGAGGCCTGTGAACAGCATGAGGTTTCTACTATTGTTTGAAGGGCCTGCCTTCTAGTTTTGGTGTCACATTGTATTTTGATTGATGGATTTGTTGTTATAAATATGAACTCGCGACTCTGACTCGGTTTGTTTTGGGAAAATGGGCAATTCACAGCCGATAAATTAGCTTAGTAGCTTAGTAGCTTTGCATGGTAAATACCTTTGTACCTTAGTAGCTTTGCACTGTAAGTAGTTCTGTTTGAGAGTAGCCAGGGAAGTGTCAGGAGGCTTCATTGAACCGATTGAGATAAATTTTTTTCTAGTGGAGTGTGCGTGCTTATACCATTTACTGTAACCATGTCACAGGGAAACCTCATTTGTTGTATTACGGAGCCGAGGTCGACAGGAAAGCTAGACCCGGCAGCACCCGATTCCTCCAGCTATCTAACTACGTCCCCAGGCACCCTCGAACCACCCGTCGGCCCCAAACACCATCTCCATGCACCCTACCTACCGCTCCCAGCCTTGGCTGAGTATACACCAGCCGTCCCCCAAGCCGCGGTGACCGGTGACCTGCCCGGCCGCCCGGTGACCGGTGACCTGGCCCGGCCGCCCGGTGACCCGCCACTCACCGCCAACGAGCCGCGGGACCGGGGGCCGCGGCAGTCCGTGGCCCGTTCGCGCCTCCTCGTCGTCGCCGGGCGGCGGCGCCGGCGTGCGGCCGGCCCGGCCCGGCGCCAGCCGCTCCCCGCCGCCGTACACCGGCGTCATGCAGCGCATGGCCTGCGCCGCGAACGCCGGCCGACCTGAGGCAGACGGCGCTGCCGGTCAGGGCCGGGTCGCACCGACGGCTGAGCAGGGCGACTAGTATTCACATGTGGCGGCCGACACGGACGCCGACGTTATCATCGTCATGTGGCAGATATAAGTAACAGCTGGTACCTACACTTTTAATTTTTAGGAACGAAAACCTAAAATGCTGCAGTACAGATTGCGTGCATTTTCCACTACAGAGCACATGTACCTGAGACAGGTCATCGGATGCTAATCAAGCCGCGGCCAATGGTCAACATACCGAGACAGCGGGGGCATGTTCTGACCCGAAAGACCATCAGGAAGCCCATCGCCCAGATAAGGGCGAGTCGTCTATCTAAGCGCTCGGCCTCATGCATTGCAAATTGGTCCGAGACCCGCCCCGATGGAGCGTTTAGGGTGAGAGTACTCCACAAACGACCATTTCCACCCACAGATGGCTTCATAACCGTCGCACGGGTAAAGCGTCTAGGCCAGACCGGCTCATTCAGGACGCTTCACACCGGCTGATGAATGCTGCGTCCGAGCCTTTCACAGCCTGCATGCAACGCAATCATGAAGGGTCGACGATACCATAGGCATTGTCAGCCGAGTACTGCAGGACCGATGCGTGACCGATACGAACCGCGGCGCCATGAGTTGAGACGGCGATGCAGAGACGTCACATCCCATCGTCCCGTCGACGTCACATCCCATCGTCCCATCTACGTCATATCCCATTCCTGATGACTAACGAGTGGGCCTCCCAGTTCTCCCGTGCCTCAGGTCCCGTGGACGAGTGAAGGGAGACGCGCCAACGACTAGTTGCGGGACAGACATCCGGCCGCGATCCGTCCACTGCCCGACGCGTCACCCACCGTTCCTCGTGAGGTTGAGGCTGGCCGGCCGCCACTGCCCGACGCGTCACCCCCGTTCCTCGTGAGGTTGAGGCTGGCCGGCCGTCACTTGCCCGACGCGTCACCCACCGTTCCTCGTGAGGTTGAGGCTGGCCGGCCGTCACCGCCTGACGCGTCACCCACCGTTCCTCGTGAGGTTGAGGCTGGCAGGCCGTCACTGCCCGACGCGTCACCCACCGTTCCTCGTGAGGTTGAGGCTGGCCGGCCCGTCCGCCATGGTGCCCTGTAGGTTGGGCTGCGAGGCGTATAGCGGCACCCCTCCGGCCCCGTACAAGCGGCTCCGGCTGCGGGGCAGGCGGAACGTCAGCCGACAGCGGGAGGCGGGTGTGACGGCCGGCTGGGACCCGGGCCGCGGCTGGCAGCGCCACGCACCGACACGTGGCTACGACAGCCGTAGCGGGTAGGGAATAGATTAGGTGTGGTTAGATATTCGTCCGTTTATCACTGAGTGGGTGCCCGTTCACACTGAACAACTTTTTGCTGGCCACCATCCATTCAAGACGTGTTGTTAATATTACTCAAATGAATGCGCCTTAACAACAGACATTTGCAAAGCCGGTGATTTCTTTCCGTGATGCCGTGCAACTGTACAACAAAAACCATAGAGCATATTGCCAGCAATAAACACAATTACGATATACGCGTGATGCACAATGACCAGTGTGCAGGTAAAGTGTAGTGGAAAAACGTCATGAAGGCCACATAACCACTTCAGCAAATCTGCACACGTTTGTCCACCATGTAGATGGCGAGTGATATGCAGACGCCGCCACATTACCGTCATATTGGCATGCCATTCATCGCCTCTTCAGTGTTGTGAATAGCCATGATGCAGTTAGTCATATTTTGAAGTTGATTATGCTGGGGTCCGTATCTCAAACAATGTGGTTTGCCTGATAAACTCTTTGACCCATTGCGTGCACTTAAATTGTTCGAATTAACGCGCACGCCGACGCAAACCAGTCGCGCCAGCCGCGACGCCTCGGGCTCCTGCTGACAGCCGCACGCTCTCCGGTGGAAGCCGCAAGCTCTCCTGGTGGAAGCTGCAAGCTCTCCTGGTGGAAGCTGCAAGCTCTCCTGGTGGCAGCAGGCCGTCCATGCCGCTCCTGTGAGCGCTCCGCAGTTCCAGCTCGGCAACGTCCCGCGGCCTCGACCGGCCGTCAGCCCCGGTGTGTGCCCGTGCGTGCGGTGGTGCTCACAGCGGGCCGTACATGCAGTACTAACTTGTCCGCGGATGTTCGGTTCTCGGTCGCGCGGCGGCCGGCGGTGCCGCGTCCGCGGCCGGGGCGCGCCGCGGCCGGGGCGCGAGCGAGGCCGAACGGTCATCGCTCCGCTCCATAGCGCCGCATTCACTCCGCTGTCGAGCGAGAGCGGCTGGCGACACGCGGCGCCCGCCGCGCTTCTAGGTCTAGTGTTAGCGGAGGGGAACCAGCCGCCCGGGTCGCGCCGGCTACTAACTTTTTCGCCGCTCCTGGACAGCGTCTTCTTGCTGGCCCGGAGGCGGGCGGGCAGCCACCAGGGGCCGGCCTTGGGCGAGGCCACCCGCTGCTGGGGAGGCAGGGAGAGGGTGCGGGAGAAGGCGCCGCCGCCCGATCCGTGTCGAGAGCGCGGCGCCGCCACCACTGGGGTCAGGATGTAGTCTAGGGAGGAGTGAACGGCACCCGCGCGGCTGCGCGCCAGCGAGAGGTGCACGGCCCCGGGCGGGTGGCGTGGCATAGAGGAGTGCACGGTGCCGGAGCGGTTCAGCGCTGGGTGGGAGGCGTACATGGGGACCTGCGAACGTCAGAGGTCCGTCGTTAGGCAGTGTCCGTCGGTCGCGTCCACAGGCGCCGCTGAAGCGGTGAGGTAAGCTGGTGAGTGGCTATAGACAGCGGTGAGATAGGTACTGAAGGTCTACGAAGTGTTAATAGGCGTCAGAAAGAAGCGATACACACAGAAGAGCAGTCCAGGTGTTAGAGCGACACGAGCTACAACACATAGCAGCCGTTTTCACACCGAGAGTAAAGTCAATTGGACTTGGCGATCTGGTGTTTGATGAACCCTGTGGTCGGATGGCAGTCAAAGTCATAAAGGTGCAGGCAAAAGATCCCAATGCGCGCAACCTTCAAGCAATATTTTGAAAAACTTGCTGGGCCACGTAGTTTGCTAGTTGTTGGTCGGGAAGAGGACTTTTATTTGTTGTGCTCTCCTCTCAGTATTAGATGAGTTGCGAAAGCCATGGCAAAGCAATTTCGCAGTCCACAGCAAAAGCAAACTAGAATGCATTTGTCTTGGTTCCACCGAAAAGAGTATGAGGTACGGAAAACCATAAGCCTCAGTCCTTTTGTAAGACATCTTGGCCATTGTTTCTGCCTGGTTTGAGGAGCTGTGGCGTGAAAACGACTGCGGTAAAGCACAAGACGGCGCGGCCGCCACAAACTCAAGCTACACATGGTGGTCAGGTGCAGAAGTGAGTCGTGAATCTGTGGTCAGTCCAGTCTAGTCTAGTGCAGTCCAGTCGTGTCTACAGCTCCCGCCACGCTGCCCCGCCGCGTCTCGCCTGCCTCTGTCACCTCTGCGGAGCAGCTGCCAACAACGGACCGTCGGCGGTGCCGCCTGCCAATAACGGCCATCGGAGGCCGCACTTGACGGCGCTACTCACCGCGTACAGATTCTGGTGGCCCATCGCCTCAGCCATCTGCGCCCAGCGCATGCGCTCCTCCATCGAGAGGGCAAAGTTGGCGTGCGCCGCGGCCGCCGCCGACGGCTTCATGAAGGAGTAGCCGCTGGCGGCGCCCAGCGTGCCCATCTCGACCTTGTTGTGGCCCTGGCCGCGGTGCCAGCGTTTGCTGCCGGAGACGAGACAGGTCAGCAGGGTGTCGTTGAGATGTACTAGTGGAGTTTGGTCCATGTGAGCTAGCTGTGTCTCAATGAATGACTAGATGGCAAGTGCAGACTATAACGGTCTCCATGGCACTACAGCACGGACCGTATCGCCATGAGACCAGCCTGACCATGCAAACAGACCGTCTGGGTTCTTTCTATACGATGATGACGTAAGTTCTCATCCCACGACGTTCAGGGAAGTGACTTGTCGCCATTTGTCCCGATCGCGGGGTTAGTTCGAACCGACCCGGCGGTGACGGGGCCTCCCCGTGGCCGGCGCCAGAGCCTGGACTCCGCCGGCCGCCGGACGGTTACCTCCATTTGCAGAGGCAGATGAAGGTGGCCACGATAACGAGGGCGGCTGCGGCTGTGGCGCCCAGCGCCGCGCCCAGCACCTCGCCGTCCACGTCACAACGCGCGCCGTAGTACGAGCCGCGACATCTGTCGAGGAAAATGGTAACTACTACGGCCGCCAAGGCTGTCCGCCAGCACGTTTCGGTGGACGCTCCGACGTGCAGGATTTCTTGAAAACCGGAAATGGTGCAGCCGATGGGTGAATGGTGCACCCGAAGGATGAATGGTGCGGCCGATGGATGAATGGGAAAATCGACGAGCGGCCGCCGCAGTCAGTCGGACGTGTGCCCCCAATTCAACACGCTTGGTTCACTGGTAACTGAGCTTCGGGCAACTACGCCCCTCTGTTTTTGCCCTCGGCAGGGAAAGAGAGTGCAAGGATTGCACGGCCAAAATCATACGCTGAAGTGGCAGCTCATCAACAGCAGCATATGTTCTTCCGACTACATCACTACTGATGTCGTAAAGTGGGGGAGGGAGGGGGGCAGATAGCACGCGACTAAGCTAGCCCAACTGCCCTGTACACCCGCGCCAGCCTCTGCGCTTCAACATAGCAGCCGATGGGCAGCCAACGGGGCTCCAAAGCCGTGACACAACACAGCACAACACAGCGCGACACAGCGCGGCGAGACTGGACTTGGCGTCACTCACAGGCAGGTCTTCTCCCCGTCGTAGATCTGGCAGGTGCCGCGGTCGCTGCAGTAGTCGTCAGTGCACGAGTCGCAGTACCGGCCGGCCCTCTGCACGTCGCTGCGGTACCTGCCGCCGGACATAAGTCACACGGTGTCATACCAGCCCCGTGTACCAGACGCGGATACTGTGAATGTGGGCATCACTGAGAATCTTTGTGTCAAAACATGTTTTAGTTCAGTTTGAATCGATGAGCGGTCTCGGTTTAACAACAATATACGCCAACAGCACGACACAGGTGCTACGCTTATCAACCACCGCTATAATCGAAACAGCGCGTACGAGACTGTATCGCAACATTTTTATTTGAGCGCATGTGAGACCATCTCAGAGCGTTTTAGCGTGCAAAACCTTCCCCTCTCTGCCGGCACTGCGTGCATTCGTCATTCTCTGCTATTCTGGCGTGTGCCTTCACTCGTCTGTCGGCTGATGTCGTCAGCGGCGCGCTGGCACGGCCCGCTGACCTGGCTGTCTGCCGGGCCCTCTGGCGGCGTCACGCCACGCGACATGCCTGTGGCCGCACGTGCCACCCGCCGCCGTTTGCGACACGGCCGCCGTCACGGCTGAGTCAACGCCAGCGGGGCGCGCCGCCATCAGGAATCATTCATTCTCGGCGCACGACCCGTAAATGCCATCGTTCCTCAATGGCACTGTGGTCTCCATTGGCACTGCGGTCTCCAATGGCACTGCGCTCCCCAATGGACTGCGGTCTCCAATGGCACTGCGGTCTCCATTGGCACTGGGTCGCTAATGGCACTGCGGTCTCCAATGGAACTGCGGTCTGCAATGGCACTGCGGTCCCCAATGGGACTGCGGTCTCCAATGGCACTGCGGTCTCCATTGGCACTGCGGTCTCTAATGGCACTGCGGTCTCCAATGGCACTGCGGTCTCCAGTGGCACTGCGGTCTCCAATGGCACTGTGATCTCCAATGGCATTGCGGTCTCCAATGGCACTGCGGTCTCCAATGGCACTGCGGTCTCCAACGCCAGTGGGCGTGGAACGCACTCATGCTGGCGATTTATCATCGGGCATCTCTTCGTTTTGGAAAGTCACATTCCCGCACAAATGTATCGGCCAACCACAGAATGTAATCCCAGACCGGTACTTGACAAGCCAGATGACCAGCACAAACTCGAGGCTGCTCCCATTCCGCGTTCTCCTTCTTTGGGCACAAGATTAGGAAGACTTGGCTCACTGGATAACGATGACTCCCTGGACCAATTACGGCTTAAGTCACATAAACATTCTGTGGATACTTGGAGTTGCCCACGTCGCCCGCTTGAGGGTGGCGGGGGTAGCGTCCAGAAAACACTGCCCGTGCTGACGCGAGAGATTCCAGGACACCCAGCCTTGCTCCCGGCCAGCCGCAGCCGGGGCGTTCCAGCCCGGCCTCCAAGTGCGCGCTACCCTCACCTATCGTCGTATCCGGGCTGACAGCGACAGAGGAAGCTGCCGAACACGTTGCTACACTCGGCGTGCTCGTCGCAGTCGTGCTGGTCAGGATCGCTGCACTCGTTCAGGTCTGTGGATTAAGGGGACGCCGAGTTCACACGCTGGTGATCAGAGCAGAGTTGCGTCTGGATTGCATAGGTGCAATTTTGGTTTATTTCCTTGTATGCTAACCATGCCAACGAAAGTAGCAAAACAAACTGTGGATAACTTTGAGACAAAATGCTGTGGCGACGAGGTAGCAACGGAGTGAAAACAGATCAGAGATCCACCGGCACCTTCTAAAACCATTTCGTAGTTGACTCCTCACAGATCGCATAATTAAGCAAAGCAAAGACCCCAGACCCCGAACTCCTATCAAACAGCTGCATCCTTCACCACCGGCAAACCCCTGCCAAACGGTCCCCCCCCCCCCCCCCCCCACCCACCGCCCTCACCTTGTACGGCCGGGCACTGGGTTGAGCGGGCCCTCGACAAAGAGAGTCGAGTCGCCGATGTTGTTGTCGCTGGCCTTGATGGCACGCACCATCTGACGCTGCAGCTCGTCTTTGACCTGGCGCCTCCGCGTCTGCGCCGTGTCCAGCAGGCTGACCGTCGTGTTCAGTACCACGCCGCCGGACAAGCGGGTAGAACGCGCTTACCCGGTTCCCCATGTAGATGTCGCGCATGGTGGTGCCGGACATGGCCGAGCCAATCTGCGTGCGGGGAAGGGAGACGCCACGTCATGTCACGCGACGCCAAGCTGTTGAAAGACATGCCATGCGCTGGCCGCCCTCATGTGTTAGGGAGAACTAGGTTTATTGCGACATGGGCTTGGGCACTCGTGCTGAAGGCTCGAGGTTTCCTCATATTGGTGTTTTGGTGGGGAGTCGAAAGGAGATTTCTCAGAGTTCGTAGTCGGCGGGGCTGAGCTGGCAGCCTCTGTCACAGCCTGAAGTTGGCATGTCAGATCAGGTCAGGTCAGGTCATGGGGTATACGCAGGTACTTCAGTGCATCAGCCATAAGCCTCTGTACGCACGGCGTGCTGAGCGTCCCAGGCCAGCTGCTGGAAGACCTCGGAGTCCCGGGTCGGCCAGCGACGAGTCCCAGGAGAGGCGCTGGTCTCCGACGCCGTCCACCTTCACCGACATCACCACCGACACCACACCTGCCGGTGACAGGGGCGCCGGCGTCATCACACAATGCGATACCAACACAACAGTACAGCGCAACACTGGAATACGCTTAGTCGCCAGTGCGTCAATCTCGCCATGCGACGTTTTGATGCCATCAATTTGTACAGAAATGATAATACTTACATCCGTCATGGACCCTCCAACGTCACAAACAATCGCACCAGCTTGAAAGTCGGTTACGTCTTGTAACAGACCCGCCACTCCACCCACCGGTCGTCCCGAGCGCCACCTCAGCGCACATAATAAACTGGAAATCGCCAACTCCACACAGCGAGATGGCAGCCGAATGGACAACACGGACGCCTTGTAAGCCCCTTCCCGCCACCGTCACCCAGCCCAAACTCGTCGCTGCTTTCGACGGTAGGTGGAGGAGCTGGCTGTCTGGCGGCCTCCGTGGGCGTGTGCCCTCGTGGGCGGGCGGCCTCAGCCGGGAGGGGCGCTCACGTTTGCAGGCCGTGCGAGGCCGCAGTCGGTTGTAGCCGGGCCGGCAGAGGCACGACGAGACGCCGTCCTCAGTCCGGCACCGCTCGTTGTACTCGCGCTTGCACGTGCTGTCGTCGCCCACGATACACGTGTCGATCCTGAGGAGGAGCCACGTGGCACGTTTTGAAGGAAAGAAAGCTCGAAACGCCAAGTGACGTGATGATAAGAGTGAGTCATGTAAGCATAAGCTAGGTCAACGTCGTACTGACACAAATGAAATGAATGTATTTATCAGTAGCACCCCAGTCGGCTAAGGCCATATGATGAGGCTGGTAGGCGCAGTGTTTTGATTACATGATCACCTGTTCGCCTATCCTCTAAACGGAGCTAAGCCACGTCCCTCATCTCTGCATATTAACATTCACGTCAATTTATCACGCAATCCCCTCTCAACTCATAGTCATTATTTTTCCACGCTCCAAAAATCCATGGAGCAGCACGATAGGTGCAATAACAGCCACTAGAATGTGTGAATATTCCGGTCATGCAAATGCGCATCCAATGCTGAATCGACAAGACCTCTGGCCGGTAGTGTTGAGGCCCACTCCGGCAATGCTTCGCCGGTCTCTCACCGGATGGGGCGGCGGTGACGGCCTGCGGCGCTGGCCGGCGTACATCGACGCCGCCTGCTGAGGCCGCTGAGGCCGCTGGGGTCGCTGGGGCCGCTGGGCCGCTGCGGCCGCTGAGGCCGCTGGGGCCGCTGAGGTCGCTGGCGGCTGGGTGGCGGGGTGGGTTGGACGGGTCGCCGCGTCGGGCGTGAGGGTCGGCTGGACGGCGCCTGACCCACTGGGCCGAGACCTGCACCCACCGTCTGCCGGGGCACAAGGACACGTCAGCGCTTAGTGACCGTGAACGGTCCCGTAATGAAGCACTGCTCGATAGAAAGCGGCTAAGTACGAGCCACAGCAAGCAAAAAACATATGCCGAATCTTGCGGGAGGGGTTAGGAATTACGGGTAGACATAGTTTACGCGGCGGATTGGGCGTCCATATCATAAGCCAGTACGTCTGTTTTCTAAGCTAAATGCATCCGTGCAGGTATAACGGAATGCATCTTTTAAATAAAGTACTTCAAAATAATGAGAGCTCTCGTCATGCACGGTGATTTGAACGTTCCTGACCTTTTGGAGCGTCACGGTGCCGGAGTAAACGCAGTGGTACATAACAGAGGCACGGAATATCTCATCGGTCGACATGACCTGGACATTCCAGAGCATGCTTTCGCAACACGCAGCGATTCATGCGGCGAGTCTGACCTGGTAGGCCCCGCCTGCCTTGGTGGCGTCGGTGGGCGCCAGGTCAAAGTAGGTGCGCCGACCGTCGATGGAGACCACGTTGTTGACGGCGTCTGGCTCGGTAATGATGTCTCCTGGCCTGCGCAGCTGGTTGATATCCACTGCGCGTGGAAGGTGTGCACCTCGTGAGCTTTAGAAAGAGGCTTCCGAAACTAAAGTGGATACCGTCTGTACTACATTATGCAAGGCAAGCCAACTTCTGAAGAGATGCATGGTTTCATGAGGTGCGTAGCACATATTTACGTGCGATTGCCAGAGACTTAGCCAACCAAGATCCCTTCAGTGCGAACCAGATGACATTTACAGCCTACATTTACAGATAGACGGACCAGTCTCTGTGTTTACCAATCCCTTGCAAACTGTCAACAAGACCAAACACTTTCTCCGCTGAGCATTTGGACCGAGTCTATGTAAGCCTGGTATGATCAGCCGCCAGTACCTGGGAAGACGTAGGGCTGTCCGGAGGGCGTCTGCGGCGGGGGCGGTCGGCGGCCGCCGCCGAACCCTTGGGCCGCCGACACGGTGATGTCAAACACTTCGCCAACCCGCTGCGCCTGGATGACCTGGGGTCTGCCGGGCGGCCGATGCGGCGGCGGCCGGGGCCGCGTGGCGTCCACCACCGACCCCGGCCGACCGGAGAACACCGACAGCGGCCGAACTGGAGGGCCGCAGCGGCGGTCGTGGCGGCCGGTGCCGACGGCGGACCGCCCAGTCCGGCGGCCGGGCTCTCGGACGACTGAGAGCGGCTCATGCGGCGTGCTTGGGATCTCCACCCACTGCTGGACCTCTCGCGTGGGCGTCGGCGGCGGCGGGTCGGCGGTGGAGGGGCCCACGGGTTTGGTCGGGGGCTCGGAGGTCGTGGTCTCTCGCGCCTCTGTCGTGGTCTCCGAGCGGGGCGCGTCCTGTCGTCGTCGGCTGCGACGGCCGGTCGGTCACCGCCCGACTCGGCCGTCTCCGTCGTCCGTCTCCTCATTCAATGTTGTGGCGGTCACCACGTCACTCTCCCCGCTCTCATCTCCACTCGTCCCGCTCTCCGTCGAAGCCTTCCGTCGCGACGTCGTCTCCGTCGTTGTGACTTGCGGCGGCAGTGGCGGCGCGGCGCGGCGGCGGCGACTCGGGCGCAGCGCCGTCCGTGGACAACCGTCTCGGCGCTGGCCGTGACCGTCGGTGCGACCGTCGCTGTCGCCTGCGGCCGCTCGCTAGCCGGCAGCTGGCTCCACGTCGGTGACGACGGTCTGCCGAATGGGCGGCGCCGGCGTGGTGGGCGTGGCTTCGCCTCGCAGCGGCACCAACTGCTCGGGCAGCGGAACGCCGTTGGACGTACGGCGCGATGGGCGGCCGCTGCTGCGGCTGGGGCCGCGGGCGGGGCTGCGGCCGCCGCGGCGGCGGCAGGTGGCTCGGGTACGGCCGCACCGCCGGCCGGTTCTTTACAGCCACAAACTGCGGCGGACCGCGGTTGTTGATGCCGCGTGGGCGCCACAGGTCGGGTTGCCGGGCGGTCGCGGTCGCGGCCGCTGCCTGTTCGGGCCTCGGTTGGGCGCGCGGTCGGCCGGCGGACCCCACCAGCCGCACGTTGTCGCCCAGCAAGCTGATGATGCTGTTGAGCACGCTGTTGACGTCCGGCTTGCCGGCGCGGCCATCGCGCCGCTCACCGGCCGCGTCCTGCGACGAGAAGCTGGCGCGCGGCTCCCAGGGCGATGGGCTCTGGCGGCCGCCAGGCGGCGGCGCGATGACGGTTGCCTCGCGCGTCTGGCGGGGCGAGGTCTCGGAAGGCTGGTTCTCGGTGGGCGTCACCGACCGCTGCACCCGCGCCGAGGGTATCACCAGCGAGACGGGCACGAGCGGCAGCAGCCGGCCGGAACGTCACCTGGACCGGCTCGGACGCGTCGGCCGCGGCCGCGGTCGCGAGCGCCAGCGACTCCGCGTGGAGTTCCTCCGCAGACCTGACCTCTGCCGACCTGACCTCTGCGCGCCTGACCTCTGCCGACGCCCGCGGTGCCAGACCTTCGGCGGTCTCACCGCCCCACATCACAGCCAATTCAGCTGACGGCGGTGCCACGCCCCTGGTGCCGCCACTATTCACCGCGAGCACCGCTGTCGTCGCACCGCCCTCCGCTGCGTCCGCACTGTTGGCTCTGACGGCTGATCGTCTGTGCACTCCACCGCCACTGGAGGAGCCTCGCCGCTCGATGTGATCGGACGAGACGCTCGGACTTGGGGGTGACCTGTCCGGAGCATGGAGCGCAGTCGTGGCCCCGGAGCTCAGGGCCAGTTCAGTCGCCTCCAAGGCACCTGAAACGGAAACATTAACCCTTGTCACGCTTGAAGCTAACCGGTG